GTGCCTAGCTGGGAGCCAGCCTGGCAGCCAGCTAGCTACCTAGCTAGCTAGCCAGGGGGAGACTGACCGGGTCGGAGAAGCAGCGGACTAGAGGGTCCAGCAGCTCGTGAGTGTACTCGTGCTGCACTGTGGGGGCGTGGTCGAGGGCCAGCTGGCCCAGGCATTGGCAGGCAGCAAACCGCACGCGGTAGTCCGTGTCCCCCAGCGCCTGCAGCAGCAGCAGCAGCAGCAGCAGATTGCGTGCAGCAGCAGCAGGTAGCAAGCAGCAGCAGCAGCACACGGACCCGCACGCAGACCAGGCGCAACACCAGCAATGAAACCAACACCAGCAGTACGACCAGCAGCTGCAGTAAGACCAACAGCAGCAGCAGCAGCAGCAGCAGCAGCACCTTGGCTACAGTGTGGACGACAGCAGCGAGCTGCTGCTCGTCGCCTTGAGGAAGATATTCTGCAGTTTGGGCGATGGCCATGAGAGCCACAAAACGGAAAGTCCATTTCTCTTGTTCTAGAAAGGGTTTTATGGCATCTGCGAGCAGCGGCAGCAAATGCGTAGCAGCAGACAGACTCTCCCGCTTCGAGTTCCTGCTGCTGCTGCTGCTGTTGCTGCTGCTGCCCTCCTCCTCCTCGAAGCTCCGCGCCAGCCGGTCCAGACCCTCCTCCCCGATCCCGTACATCCGCTGCTCCTGCACGCAGCACAGCCACAACACTGCTGCTGCTGCTGCTGCTGCTGTTGCTGCTGTTGCTGCGGGCACAATCCCTATATAAAGAAACGCAGCAGCGCCAGACAAGCAGCAGCAGCACCGCCCTCCCCCAACGAGCAGCAGCAGCAGCTCCCTAACCACCACCACCACAAGCCCCAGCACCACACCCAGCCACAGCAGCATCAGCAGCAGCGAAATGAGCAGCAGCACCAACAGCAGCAAAATGAGCAGCACCAAAAGCAGCACCAAAATGAGCAGCAGCACCAACAGCAGCAAAATGAGCAGCACCAACAGCAGCAAAATGCCCAGCAGCCGCAGCAGCAGCAGCAGCAGCAGCGGCGCACGTCGTCGTCCTCTTCGCCGGACTCGAACCAGGGCTTGTACTCTTCGCGTTCAGCCTCGAGCATACACCTGAGGAGAGTGTTGAGGACTTCGCGCAGGGTGTCTGTACACCCCAGCAGGCTCTGCGGCCTCATTTCTGCGTAGCACAGCAGCGCCTCAATGGCGAGTCTTCGCACAGTTTCCGTGCCTTCCACCTTGTCTGCTGCTGCTGCTGCTGCTGCTCCTGCGACTGAGGGCGTTGCTGCTGCTGGGGCGGCTGCGGGGGAGCCTGGGCCTGCTGCTGCAGCAGCAGCAGCTGCTGCTGCTGCTGCTGCTGCGTCCGCAGCAGCAGCAAGGCCCGGCAAGCCCTTCCCTGCGTTCGCTAGCGCCAGCAAGTAGTTCAGCAGCAGCGGCAGCTGAGGCTTCAGCAGCGCAGCCCCGCCGCCCCTGTCCGCCTCCACCAGCTGCACCAACAAACCCACCACCCTGCAGCAGCAGCAGCAGCAGCAGCAGCAGCAGCAATAACGCAGCAGCAATAGCAGCAGCACTAGCCGCAGGTTGTGGGCGGGCAGCTGCTGCAGAGGTCCCAACCGAGCGCCAGCCGCAGCAGCCAAACAAAGCACTAGAGCAACCGCAGCAAACGCAGCAGCAGCAACGGCAACAGCAGCAGCAGCAGCAGCCTCACCTCTCGGCCACCTGGAAGTCCGGGGTCTCCCCCGGCTGCGTCTCTTCGCCTGCCAGCCGCAGCGCCGCCTCAGCAGCAGAAATGACCAGAAGGGACACAGGGCTTTCTGCAGTCCCCACCTTTCTGTAAACACCTGCATGCAGCAGCAGCAGCAGCAGCAGCAGACAGCTGAGCAGCGGCGCTTGCGGCCACTGGGCAGCAGCAGAAGCAGCAGCGGGACGAGCGCCGCAGCGGCAGCAGAGAAGCCGGAGCGCCGCTGCAGGCGCAGCAGCAGCGCTGCCGCAGCAGCGGCAAAAGCAGCAGCGCAGCAGCAGCAGCAGCAGCAGCAGCGCGGACTTCGCTGTCCGTCCTCGACGAGGGCGACGAGGAGGGAGAGGGCCTCGGCGTTGGTCTCAGCAGCAGCAGCAGCACTGAGGCAGCGGCGGACAAGGGCCCCCAAGTGGGTACTTTCTGGGGGGCCCCCCAGCTGGGGCCCCAAAGCGGGAATAACTTCTGCAAGAATGTGGAGGGCCCCCTGCTGCTTGTGGGGTTCGCTGCTGCTGAGGAGCTGCAGCAGCTGGGGCCCCAGAGTGGTCCACTGGTCCTCTGGGAGGAGGTCGCATGCAAGGTCTGCAGTGGTGCTGCAGATGTTGCTGCGGACGGTCTTGCTGCTCTCCTGCTGCAGCTGCTGCAGAAGCGTCTGCTGCACTGCTGCTTTTGCTGCAGCAGACAGCCGGCCCCACAGGTGGGCCCCCCCCTCCAGGGGGCCCCCAAAGGCCGAAGACCGCAGCAGCACAGCAGCCTGCAGCCGCAGCTGCTCCTCGGGGTGCCCCGAAAGGGTCTGCAGCAAACAGCTCACGTAGCTGTCTGCTGCTGCTGCTTTCAAAGCAGCAAGTTGTGCTTCTGCCTGCCGCCGCACTGCAGCATCCTCGGCCAGCGTGGCCTGCAGCAGCTCGCAGAACTGCGCCGCGTCCATTGGCCTTAGGGTTTAGGGTTTAGGGTTTGGGGTTTGGGGTTTGGGCTTTGGGCTTTGGGAGGCCGCCTCCAAAGGCCCTCGCAGCCACAGCTGCAAACCCTGCAGCAGCTGCTCGCTGGAAGGCGCGGGAGCCCCCGAAGGCCCTCAGCTGCAGCAGCAGACAGCAGCAGCAGGGGCCCCGCCAGCCTCGAGGCGCTGCAGGGCTAGGGTTTACGGTTTAGGGTTTGGGCTTTGCCGCTCGCGTTCCACAGTTCACAAGCCAATACCCTTTTAAAAAGCAGCTCCTGCAAATTACTCAAACCCCGAAAACCTTTGC